AAGAAGAAGAAGAAGAAGAAGAAGAAGAAGAAGAAGAAGAAGAAGAAGAAGAAGAAGAAGAAGAAGAAGAAGAAGAAGAAGAAGAAGAAGAAGAAGAAGAAGAAGAAGAAGAAGAAGAAGAAGAAGAAGAAGAAGAAGAAGAAGAAGAAGAAGAAGAAGAAGAAGAAGAAGAAGAAGAAGAAGAAGACGACGACTGAGGGGTCCTTGGTGTTCTCTGAGCTTGGCTGTTTTCTTGTGGAAGTTTCATGACCCAACTAGGGAACATCATCAGTTCTAGAAGGGAGGAGGAGGAGGAGGACTGTGGAGTCCCTGAAGTTCTCTGAGCTGGACACTTTTCTTGCAAACGTTTCGTTACCCAAACTCGGTCACCTCATCCGTGTCCCGTACTTTGGGCCACGAAATGTCCGCCAGAGAACAGCCACGCTCAGAGGTGTCTTCTGAGATCTCAGTGGCTTCCTCTGCCCCATTTTTTTCTTGTTTATCCCTCCGAAGCCCAATCCGGCGGCAAAGCATCTCCCCTCCTCAGCGTTACCTATTCCCGAAGATCCCAGGAAGAGGAAGACCAGCGGGTGCTCTTCATCGTACCATCCATTTTCCTTTCTCCGGATGGCTGCCCAGTGGAAAAGGAAAAAACAAAAAACAAAGAAAGAGGGGGGTTGGGTTATAAATCTGGGCACATAAAAAACCAACAAAAAAAAAACACAGAAAAAGGGAATGGCATATAAATCAATGACACAACAGCCAGGATAATTATCACTAAGTATACACTATGTTTTACTGCTCTCTGCCCACTCAGAGTCCTGGCTGCCATTAGCGCAGCCTAATCTGATTAGCCAGCAAGGGCCCCAGAGGTACCTAATCAGGTTAGCATGGATTTGGAAAGCTGCCCAGGAGCAGATTTCGGATAAAGTTTTCCAGGATGTGCACTTAGAGTTGCCAGGGAAACAGGAGACGAGGATGGAGACGGAATGAGCCAGAAAGGGACCTGGAGGAGGGAGGGGGGGCGCTCCAGCCCGCAAAGGAGGGGTCCCCCCTGTCCCAACTGCTTTGATGCTGACGGGAAAGCCAGCAGACCTGCAATCAAGGTCACGGAACAGACCAGCATGTGGGGGCTCATGGGTAAGGGTGGAGGCAGAGGAGGGGCCGAGTCCACCACACGGGAAGGCCCTCTGCAGCTAAGCTGAAGAGGAGGAGGAGGACTCAAGGCTGAAAGACCAAGAACAGGGTGGAGTAGAGTGGAGTAGAGTAGGGTAGGATAGAAGGGGGAAGGAGAACAGGAGAAAAAGGAAGGATGGAGGAGAAGGGAGAAGAGAAGAGAAAAATGAAGAATAGAATAGAGTAGAGTAGAGTAGAGTAGAACAGAACAGAACAGAAGAGAACAGAATAGAATAGAATAGAAAATATGGAATGGAATGGAATGGAATGGAAGAGAAGAGAATGGAAATAAGGAACAATATAGAATTAGAATAGAATAGAATAGAATAGAATAGAGCATAGCAGAGTAGAGTAGAGTAGAGTAGAATAGAATAGAAATACAGAATAGAATAGAATAGAATAGAATAGAATAGAATAGAATAGAATAGAGTAGTGTAGAATAGAATAGAAATACAGAATAGAATAGAATAGAATAGAATAGAATGGACTAGAGTAGAGTAGAGTAGAGTAGAATAGAAAATATGGACTAGAATAGAATAGAATAGAATAGAAAATATGGAATCGAATTGAATCGAATTACAGAATAAAATAGAATAGAAATAGGACAGAATAACAGAACAGAATAGAACAGAATAGAGAATAGAAATAGGACAGAATTACAGAACAGAATAGAACAGAACAGAATAGAGAATAGGAATAGGACAGAATTACAGAACAGAGCAGAACAGAATAGCAGAGCAAAGGAGAAAAAGAAAGGATGGAGAAAAGAAGGAAGGAAGGAGGATGGGATAGGATAGGATAGGGGAGAAGAGAAGGGGAGGAGAGGAGAGGAGAAGTAGAATAGAGTAGAACATAATATAATGGAACCATAGGCCTGGAAGGGGCCTTGGAGGTCTTCCAGTCTGACCCCCAAGGAGAGAACGGCAGTGGGGGCTGACTCCTTATCTGTGGGTCTGCTGCTTCCAAAGACCCGCATTAGGCAAAAATCAGGAGGAATCTGGTAGCATCCGAAGCAACTTCTAACAAAACAGAATATTTCCAACAAGTGGAAGATTCGAACAGGTAGAATAAACCGGGCCATGTTGTTAACACAGGAAGCAAACTTGCTATAAACTCAAGAGTCTTCTAGGCCCCCACACCCAGACCAACAACATCGTCATCCCAGCCCCAACCACTTCGCACAAAAGATACAGCCTCTAAGGTTGTATCGTTTGACACCAAGAAAGACCCTTCTGGATCCTACAGAAGACAAAAAACTTCCTGTAGAAAGATGAGCCGACGGAAGCCTGAAGTCAGGACTTTAAAGAAGGGCTAACGAAGCCCAGCGCATTTCCGCCTCCCGAGAGATTCTTTGGGGTCATCTTTGGGAAATGCGTAATAAGGAAGCCAAATTTATTAAATTTATGTACCACTTCACTCTCAGAAACTCCAAAATATTGGCAGTGCCATTAAGCAAGAGATTGGCCAAGTTATAAACATTATCAGTGCTAGGATGGAGTGGAGTTTGTGATATGATGGAGGAGGAGGAGGAGGAGGAGGAGGAGGAGGAGGAGGACTGTGGGGTCCTTGGTGCTCTCTGAGCTGGGTTGTTTTTTCTTGAGGACGTTTCATGACCCAACTAGGGAACATCATCAGTGCTAGAAGGGAGGAGGAGGAAGGAAGGAAGGAAGAAAGGAGGGAAGGAGGGAAGGAAGGAAGGAAGGAAGGAAGGAAGGAAGGA